GCCCCGCCCACCGGTCCTCCTGACTGACAGGTGTGGGGCCCCCCCGCTCCCCGCGACCCTCCTCCGTTGCCCCCCTTGCCGTCTCCCAGGCCCCTGCCCTCCTCCTGCCCAGCCCACCCCTGCGACCTCAGCCCGGGCCCCTGGGCCGCCAGGCGCCGGCCGGGGACAGCTGGGCGCTAAGTTTAGCCCTTTGGCTGTCAGCCTTGGGGCCCGGTTACCGCGGGCGCACGGGGCTCCCCGCCGCCCGGCCGCCCGGCTCACACCGCCCGCCTCCCCGCAGCCCCTGGCCAGGCGGTGCCGCCTCCAGCCCCGAGATGCCGCCAAGATGCCCGAGAGCGCCTGGAAGTTTCTCTTCTACCTGGGCTGCTGGAGCTACAGCGCCTACCTGCTCTTCGGCACCGACTACCCCTTCTTCCACGACCCGCCCTCCGCCTTCTATGGTAGGAAAGGCCGGGGCGCCGGACGCTGGTCCGACAGACACCATGTCTCGGGTGGTCTCAGGCCCCGCTGGGCTCGGAGGAGGGCTCCTGGGGGTGGGAACCCTATTGTGAGCCAAGATGAGTCTTCCGGTGGTGCAAAGGCCCTGGGTATCCCCGAGGGCCGCGTAAGGCCTAGAGGGACACTTCCCCGGGCTCTGGTTCTAAATGGGATGGGGTTCTGTGGGTGATGCGGCCTCTGCCGGCCACTGGGGGGGGTTGGGGGTCCCCTGTGCGTCCTCCGGGTCCAGCCAGGACTCAAGGAGAGGGAAGCAGCTGCCCCAGCCAGTGGTGCACATGTGTGCAGTGTGCAGTCTCTCTCCACCCCAGCCTCCCTCTCCAACCTCCATCCTCCCTCCTCCCCAGCCTCCCGCCTCCCCAGCCTCCCCCCTTCTGTAGATGACACCACTTTGCTTTTTTTGGGGGGTGTCAGTCGTGGTGGCCAGTTGTCAGGGCCTGGGCGCTGTCCCTCAGCTCTTCAGCTCAAGGCTGGCGCTCTACCCCTTGAGCCACAGCGCCACTTGCAGTTTTTGGTGGTTCATTGAGGTCAGAGCCTCACGGGCTCTCTGCCCCGGCTGGCTGTGAACCGGGGTCCTCAGCTCCAGGCCTCCTGCGTGGCTGGGGTGACAGCCAGTGAGGGAGGCAGGCGGGGCTGGCGGAGTCGCTGGCCGCAGCGGGCGGAGGGGGCCGCGGTGCTGCCCGGTCCCCTCTGCCTGGGCTTGTGCAAGAAGGGCACGCCGGGCCGCGCACCTCTGCACTAGGTTCGAATCAGGCTGTGCTGTGTCTAGGGCCTTTCTGTGTGGGTTTGGAGATGTGACCACCTCCCTGCCCTGCCGCAAGCCCTGGCGGTTGGTTACACCACAGCATCTTTGCCTGAAGAGCCTCTCTGCCTGCCACAGCTGTAAAACAGCGGGGCCGGGCCTGGCTCGGAGTGGTGATGGCAGGAGCCGCCGCAGTCCCTGTGGCTGCAGACAGGGTGGGGGGCAGGGCGGTGGAAACCGCACCCCTCCTCCTGCAGATGAAGCAGGCCCGTGCAAAGGAGGGACTGCGGAAAGGGGGGCTCTGCCTGCACCAAGGGCCAGAGTTCCAGCTCTGCAGGGCTCACCTTCTGTCCCCTCCATCTGGTCTGGTGTCCAGGGAGCCATGCACCTGTCATCTCTTCTTCCCTTCCTTCCTTCCCTGCTCCTTGCGGGGAGTCTGTCTGTGCGTGGAGCTGCGTCTGTCTTCCTTCCTTCCCCTGGCTGCATCGTATTCCACAGTTCTGTGGGGTCACGTGTGCATCCATCCCTGAACATGGCGGCTCCTCACTTCTGGCTGGTGGACGTGGGGTGCTGAGCACAGAGGCGTGTCTGCAGCTTGGGCGCCTGTCTCTGAGGCCAGGTCTTGCTGGACATGTGCAGCCCAGGCTGGCCTAGAACTGGCATCCTTCCTCAGCGCCCCCCCCCCCAGGGCTGGGAGCATAGGTGTCTTCCTGGGGGGCGCAGATGAGTGCGCTCTGGCCGGGGGTAAGGCAAAGTGGCAGCGGCGGGGGGTGGGGGGCACACCGCCTCAGGGGACAGCTGCCCGGTGAGTCATGGGGGTACAGGCTGCTGGGGAGACTGGGTGGCTCTGGTGCATGCTTTTGGCTATGTGCTGGAACTTGCTAGAAATCTCATCCTGCCTCTCCCCCCCCCACCCCATGCAAGACCTTGTACTATCGAGTGACAGGTAACAATTGGGAGCAGGCCCCCAGCCGTCCGCCGGGGTGGGTGGGGATGTGGGGTCATGATGGGGATGCCCGAGGACCCCCACTGTGAAGTTCTGCTCTCTGCAGACTGGACGCCGGGCATGGCGGTCCCACGGGACATCGCCGCCGCCTACCTGCTGCAGGGCAGCTTCTACGGGCACTCCATCTACGCCACCCTCTACATGGACACCTGGCGCAAGGACTCGGTGGTCATGCTGCTCCACCATGTGGTGGCCCTGGTCCTCATTGTCGCCTCCTACGCCTTCCGGTAAGTGGTAGCGCTTTACCGCGTGAGCCACAGCACCACCTCCAGATTTTTCCTGAATGGTTAGTTGGAGATAAGAGTCCCCCTGGGACTTTCCCGCCCTGGCTGGCTAGGAATCCAGATCCTCCCGAGACATCAGCCTCCCGAGTAGCCTGAGCCACCGGTGCTGGGCTTTGAACCAACGACAGGGTGTTTTCTGGGGAGGGACCGTGGCAGCTGGGGTGAGGGTGGGGTGCTGGTATTCACGGGAAGCGGGAAGGTCGTGAGCCGGGGCAGAAACTACGGAACCGACCTGAAGAGCAGAGAAACCTGAAGGGAACCTGGGCCGGGGATGAGGGAGGAGGGGCCTGGGTCAGGACCCAGGGAGCTGCGGGGAGGGCAGAGCCTAGCCGGAGACAGGACCAGGGGGCACAGGGCATGGGGCGGGCCCCGGCCCCGCCGCGCCCCGCCCATCACCGTGCTGGGCCATGCCCCCAGCGCCGCGCCGGGCCACGCCCCTCCCGCCCAGCCCCACCCTCCAGCCCCTGTCCTACCCCTCCAGGTACCACAACGTGGGGATCCTCGTGCTCTTCCTGCACGACATCAGCGACGTGCAGCTGGAGTTCACCAAGCTCAATACCTACTTCAAAGCCCGCGACGGCTCCTACCGCCGGCTTCACGCGCTGGTGGCCGACCTGGGCTGCCTCAGCTTCAGCTTCAGCTGGTGAGGGAGGCGGGGCCAGGCAGGAGGGAGGCGAGGCCTAGCAAAGTGGACGTGGCCAATCAGAGAAGGAGGAAGGGGTGGGGTGGGGCCAGACCAGGAGGGAGGTGGGACTAGTGTGTGGGCAGGCCTAGCACCGGGGGCGGGGCCTGAGCCGTGAGGGCGGGGCCAGGCGTGGACGGGATGGGGTGGGGGCGGGCGGGGCAGATGTGCAGTCCTGGAGGTTGGCCACCAGGACCGGAAGCAGGGAGCACTTTGGGGGTGGTGGAACCTGGTTCTGGGGGCTCCTGGCAGAGCAGGGCCATGGAGTGGACCTGAGGGGCAGGGCACGCATGGAGGAGGGAGCTGGGCAGGGCGGGACTGGGCAGGGACAAGAGATGGGATTGGACATGGGCTGAGTGGGGCCCTCCCCTCATGCCCACCCCGCCCCTCCCCCTCCTTCCTCCCCCCTCCTCCCTCCCTTCCTCTCCCCCCTCCCCCCCCAGGTTCTGGTTCCGTCTCTACTGGTTCCCGCTCAAGGTCCTGTATGCCACCAGCCACTCCAGCCTGGTCTCCGTGCCCGACATCCCCTTCTACTTTTTCTTCAACGCACTCTTGCTGCTGCTCACCGTCATGAACATCTACTGGTTCCTGGTGAGTTGCCCGGCTTGGGGCAGGCAGTGTCCGTCCGTCCTGGTCTGCGGGTACCGCCGTGGGAACAGCAGGTGACAAGGGCCTGTGGCAGCAGCACACCGCTGCCCGCAGGGCTGGGGAGGAAGGAGGAAGAGGGAGGAAGGGCCTGTCTCACACCCCCCCACCCCCCCCCCACAGTACATCGTGGCTTTTGCTGCCAAGGTGCTGACGGGCCAGATGCGTGAGCTGAAGGACTTGCGGGAGTATGACCCCTCTGAAGCCCCGAACCCCAAGCCCAGCAAAGCTGAGTGAGTGCAGAGGCCCAGCCTGGGAACCTTCCCTGATCACCGAGGCAGTAGGCAGGGGCTGCCGACTGCCCCAGACTCGTTCACGCAGACCCCGCACGGGCGTGGACCGTGTGGTGGGCTGCAGGGACGGCCAGGACACAGGGGGAGGGCACAGGGAGCGCGGCCTCCAACCTGTGACCTCCAACCTGTCCCCGTGTCCCGCTGTGGCCTGAGTGCCGGGGACAACACCTGACACAGTGGAGTTGTGAGTGGGGACGGGAGGCTGCAGAAGCTTCCAGAAGCTGCTGGCCAGCCAGTCTCTGTGACCTGGACCAGGCGGTGGGGCCTGGTGTTGGGAAGCAGCTGGCTCCGACTCCATCGCCAGGTCAGGATGAGGTCAGGAGCTGGGAGGGCCGTGTGTAAACCACGTGCTAGCCGCATGGCGACTCACACATCCTAGCTGCTGGGGGGGGAGGGGGCTGCGATGGGGAGGAGTGGAGGCCAGCCAGGGCAGGAAAGACCGCAAGACGCCCCTCCGGGGCAGGAGCTGGACAGGAGCCAGCAGGCTGGCTTTGATGGGGCAGGCGGTATAGAAACAGTCAAGGATGGATCAAACCTTTTGGCTGGAGTGGGCGGGGCTCAGGCAGGGCTGTGGGGGAGGGGCAGGGCCCACACCCTGGGCAGCCACGTCTCATCTGGGGCGCCTGGGGCCCGGTTGATTGTAGTTGTCCCTTGAAGGCGAGTCAGGAATTGTACAGAGAGATCAGTGAGGCCTCCCTGAGGATTCTTCCAGAACATTCCAGGGGGAGCGGTGGGGGAGAGAATGGGGTAGGAAATGACCTTGGTCAAATCTAAAAGCAAGAAAGGTTAGATTGGTGCTGTGGATGGACAGACTCACCGTGGGCTGGCCAGGCAGGCACCAGCCAGGCCCCCAACCCCCTGAGCCCATTCTAACTCCCTGAATGCCTAGCCAGAGCATGGTGTGATGGGGCACCCCACTTCTGAGAGCATAAATCATAAAGAAGTAGGTGTCCCAGGGACACCCTTGAACCAGAATCTCTACAGGTGGCAGGAGTTGGCTGGGTCTAACATAGAACATGGTCGGAGGCCAGGGGAGGGGGGGAGGGAAGGGAGTCAGAGGGCCAGGGGTCAGAGGGCCAGGCTGAGGGGTGGGAACACCGCAGCAGAAGCATCCGCAGCCTGCCAGGCTCGGTGGGCAGGATAGCATGTGCCTGGCACAGCGTGCAGGAAGTGATGAGACAGACTGACGCAGACAGACAGAGGGATAGACCGAGGGAAGGGAAGCCTGTCCAGGTCGCAGGGAGGGGTGGGGAGCTGTGGCAGGCCCCGAGATGTGCCGTGGGCCACAGCTGCGTCGCCACCTGCAGCCGCAGATGGCGGTGGCCGTGGTGGTCCCGGAATCTAGGAATGCTCGAAAATGTAGAACTTATTTTTTAAAATGGCCCAAGGTGGCCGGCGGGGTCAGGAGGCTCTCGGGTTCTGGGACCCCCGGGCGGTGCGGGTAGACCACAGGGCTGGCGTGGCCTGCTGTGCCACGTGCCCCGGCCACGGACCTGAGGCACAGGCGTCCGCCCAGCGCCTCCCACCCTGCTGCTGCCCCGGGCTGTCCGGCCCGTCCCCCCAAGGCGGCCTCGGCCCTCCGCTGCCTCCTGTGTGCGGACTGTCCGCTAGAGCTTCCGTGGAAGGCCGGGCGGTGGGAGCCCATCCCAGGCCCGTGCCCGGGCTCCCAGGCTGGCTGGCGGAGTCGCCCCGCTGGGCCTCACCGACCCGCCAGGGCCGGGCCCTGAGGTGGGGGCCCCGGGGCGGGTCGGCTCCTGGAAGGGGGGGCTGCACCTCCGGCGGCCTGCGCCTGCCGGGCTGGGGCTCTGAAATGTGGGGTGCAGCTCGGACGTGCCTGCGGGGACCAGCGCGGGGAGGCACGGCGGGGCCGGGCGCTGGTCCCCGCCTCACCCCCGGCCTCCCGCCCGCAGGAGGCCGCTGAGGAACGGCCTGGTGAAGGACAAGCGCTTCTGAGCCCGGCCCCGCCCCCGAGCAGGCCCCGCCCCGTCTGAGCCCCGCCCCGACTCACCTCTGACGGAAGCCACGCCTCCCAGGAAAAGCTGGGCCACTCCCCGAAGAGCCTGCTGCGCCTCCGACGGAAGCCACGCCTCCTGGGACCGCTTAGCCACGCCCCCGACGGATCGACCTTGTCTCGGGATCCTGGCCTCAGCGAGCTCCCCTCCGGGCTGGCCGCCCCCCGCGCCTGCGCCCCT